AAAAAATAGTGTCATGCACCCTGGGACAACTGGTAAAGTTACAGAAGTCCCTGCCAATATCATCTGAGGTTTGTTTGCATAACATGCAAAAAGGAAACAAACACTGGCTATCTTAGAAACACTGGGGAAAATCCAGAGTTATATAAATGGGGGGAGGAGAGGAAAGAAAAATGTTGTGGAAGAAGCTGTTTTCCAGCTTCTACGGAGATATTTAAAAATTTAAGAGAGGCCTAAGCATGAGGAAATTAGTTTTTAAACACGCCAACGTTTCTGAATCCGTGTTTGGCATTTGGGGTCTGGGACTGTGTTTCGAGGCTTGCTAAGGAAAAGGCGAAGAAAAAGCCAACAACTACTGTTGTGAATTGCCAACAGCATTTCTGAGCACCAGCCACACAGGGTGACGCTCAATGCACAGCAGCATAAACTCCATGTAGTGTGTCAGTAGGAGCGCAGCTGGCAGCTGTTTCAACTAGAAGAAATTGTGCCTCAGAAAACATGTATTCAAGTACAGGACTCCCATTGCAAGACAACTTCTTCTGCAATATGCGCCTAGGTACCTAATGATGCAAGCACGTATGTGCATAAAGGGTTAGGACTTTTTTTAGTGTTACAAATATTAACACCATTTACACTGAATGTCTTCATCAAAGCCTATGGTGGAACTGAAGATGCTATTTACATGAGAAGCTCTTGACAGGTTTCTGGTACACTGAGCCTCGTTAGCAATCTGATTCTTTAAATGTTACGCTTTTCCTATGTATTTCAAATTCTTTTACTATACTTCTGTCTACTTGTAGGTATACAAACATGCTATTTACAAAGCAGTATTTATCTAAAAATAGAGCACATGATTTATCATTGCCTTTTCAGAGTGACGTCTAAACACCTTCTCCCTCGAATGCATCCAATTGCCCTCTTTTTTGCTACTTTGATGTTCAACTGAGTGTCCTGGAGAACAACATCACAGGAAACATCATTGTCCTAAGTTCTGCCCAGCTGAACATATCAAAAAACCCACAAACAAATGGCATCTTGAAGGTGCCTCTTCAGAGCAGTCTAAAACTCGAATAGGTGAACAGGAGCTTGCTGCTGCCAGGCTTCTGGCAGAGGGAAAGCTCTGGTCCCCCACACAAACCAATGATGAAGAAACATGGAGCACTTGCCAATTGTGCCATGACAGACAACACGGCTACTGGTTCCCTTTGGAAATGGCTTACCCACAAAAGCAGCAGCTACAGATAATAAAGACAGCTACCACAGCAAACGTCAGTCATCCGGTTCTAAGTCTGCCTATGCAGCCTCTGCATAGTAGGAGAGGTAACTCACTGCCTGCCTGTAGTATTAGGTTACTATTTTGTTAATATACTAAGTAGTAGTTCTGCGAGGTATATCACATGCAGATCTACCAACTCAAAATTTAACATACTAACCCAAGATCCCAGATCCCCTCACATGTCAGAACAACAAAAATAATTGATGTGTCAAATACGAGAGTGCACGATGTTACATCAAACATGACTGATGTTCCACGCATATAGTGAACAGTACAAAAACCCATTACAATCCCCAAATTGTCACATGTGACAAGCATGGCTCAGAAATAAAAAGCAGCAGCACCAGTTATTTGCTTCAGAAAGAAACTGCTTGGCATTAACACCTTACATCTCTGAACAGTGATCCAACTGGAGGGTTGAAGCACTGAGTTAGTAGTAACAGTGTTTTGGACACAATCCCTTCTGATCGTATCCCTTCTCGAAGTTTTTTTTTGTTTCGTTTTTTAAAAAAGCTGAATTTTCTAGTCTTCTATAAAAAAACCAAAAGAACTAAAACAAAATAGATGTTCAGTAAAGGAAAAAGATCTTGCAGAAAATGATGGTTAGGATGTGCAGTATTTTAAGTTTCCTCAGACATTTTCCAGCAACAATTTGACTGAAGAGGCTCGCAGGAAGTCTGAAGGCACTAATAAAAGGAGTGTGATCCCCTCTGAAGCCCGAAGTTTTAGTCTTCCAATTGTCAGTCAATGCATTTATAGGCTAAACAGCACCATGTTTTGAAAGTGAATTTCTATAAAGACATTCCTAAAGATGCTTCACTAGTTTAACATGGCACTTGGGCTCAGAAAGCAAGTCTGTTCCCTGACAGTCCTTGTCACTCACTCTTACAGAACTATGCTCCCAGAGGTGTCTTCAGATCATGTGAAGCAGCACGCAACCTCCCACTACCCATCTGCTTTTTGGATTCGCTGCTAAAGATTTAAGATAGACATTTGAAAGGAGTCCTTACTTGCAGCACTGAATAGGATCAAAGGAAACAAAGAGCTGAAGCAGCTGAGCATTCAAGTGCTGGAATGAAAACTGCTTATTGGTTCATAACCATTAAGCAACAGTAAATGGCGCTACACATACAGCACAAGCCTGTGTCTCTCCCCCGTTCGCCCCAGTCTTCTGCTACTGATAAAAGATGATCTGTATGATATACCATTGCTGTTAATAGGATTCTTCTGCCCTACATTCTAGAAGTCAGAACATCAGTCAAATACAATATATAGTCAAAGTTGTTGGTTGGTTGTTTTTTTTTAAAAAGAAAATAGTTATGGATAATTAGATGAGAGTGCTTTGATAACATTAAGGCAGACCCAGTATTTGTGGACTTTTTCCCTACCTAATCACTAAGATATGAAGAAATTTAAAATGCTGAAGCCTTTCCTGTACAAGAAGAACAGGAGAACCTGAGTATGTGATGCTAGTGCTTAAGTGAATCACTGTGGGCACACTGTGAAGCGTGTTAGGCTGCCCCCTGCGAGCTGCGTGTGTTCTCCGCAGCTGCCCAGGATTCCAGTCTGTCAAAATAAAAATTGCTAGTACTCTCAAACTTCAGTTAGGTTTGGTTTCTTGCAATACACAGCCATATGAAAGCAAAGTTATTCTTCATGATTAGCTGTTCTGCCGCAGATGATTGCTCCTCTGCATTGAAAAACTGCTCCATAAAAAACCCAAACCACTACTCATACACTCTATTCATGATACGTTCTGCTTTCAATTAAAAGCATATGGCAGCACAATCTAAAATTCATCTTAGGAGGTAAACACACATTATGCCAAATCTGCACTAGTGAAAAGAAATTTGCTCTAAAAGACATATTATGAGACAGGATTGTTACTATTAGGATTTAGCCACCTCCCAGCTATCAAACACAAAGGGTAGAACTGCTTCTTCTTATGTATTAGTTAAATGTTCTGAATAATAGACAGTAATAGATTAGGCACGAAACTTTCTTGCAGTGGTAGCTGGTGACATATGGACACCAGCTTTTTGCTCTGCCTGTCTGTCCTTTCACTCATAGCTCTGCTAATTCCAAGATTCAACCTCAAAATGAGAATTGTATCTGCACTTTAGGCTCTTTCAGACACATCTTGCACTCTGTCAGGTCCACAGAAACATCTATTTTCACTGCCTTCACAGTTCAGTCTTTCAGGAGGCACACAGAGGTAGTTCTCACTGATGATGGTTTGGATGCCATTTAGTGCTTTTGCCTTTTTGTCGGCTTTGAAATCTCTCTCCATATTTCCATTCTATGGAGTTGGCAGAGACAAACCAACATCTGAAACTGCACCACCCATTGTTGTGATTAAGTTTAATCTAATGTTTGGTTTTATTCTGATGGCCAGATCACGTGGCCTGGAGAACAAATTTTTGCCAAGTTAGCTATCCTTCTGGTCTACTTTCACACCTTTACAACCAGTAGCTTAGCCAATGCAGCCTCCTTATCTGTTTCGAGATCTTGTTTAGAAAGCCATTCTCCCATCTTATTTATTCAGAAAACCACAAAGCAGCTAAGAAAATTGAAATCCAAATATAAGATTCAGTTAGAACTTTATGGAGACTCCTTTTGAATGCTCTTTACCATTTTACCTCACACTACTGTGGTTTACAGTAAGGTAAGGAGCATGCAAGTTGGAAAGCGCTTTCTCCTGTAGGCTAGTGAAATTCTCATGTGCCACAGTCTGAAGTTTAGAGTGAAATCTTACAATTACAGCTGCCTAGAGATTCATATGTGAACAAAAGCACTTTTGAAGATGATCGTTCTGAAGACTCCTTTAAGTACACAAAAATGTACATCATTCAAGCTTTCTTTGCATCACACATCTCGTAAAGGAGAGGTAGAATTATCGGCATTTAACCCTCCTTGGGTTTCTACCTGTCACTAGAGAAATCCCACCTTGTACTCCCAGGCAGAATTTGCAGAGAGTTCCCTGTGGGGAAGACACTGGAGAACAGCCAGGCAGCAGATCGTAAAGCTAATACAATGAAGACCGTCCAAAGAGCAATTCGTTCTCAAGGAGCTAGTACAACTGCCTCTAATATTGCATGCCAAACTGCTTTGACAACTGATGTTAGTAGACAGAGATTTCCCCGTGGCTTATACTACCGTATAGTGCAAAGACTGCTGAACGCTGGGGGTGAAGCAGGAGATCTGGAGCTTTAGCTATGAAATACAAAATGCATTAGTGCAATACATTAGGATAGATTAATAGAGCATTCTAAGTTGTTTTTTTTTTAAAGTTTTTAACTTTATGCAGTTCTTGTTGAGGTTTAAGTCAGTGTTACACATTTTTTCCCCAAGTTTGTACCCCTGAGTCAAACACTGAATAAACACTGTACAGTAGGTACAGAAACTAGTGTCTAGTTAAAAAGCAACAGATTTGAACGGCCATTGCTTCAAAAGTGTTAAACAGTGATAATACCCTTCCACTGGGAGAAGGAAAAAAAAAAGCACTCTCACTTGTTCTTAGTTTATAACTAGGTAAAAGATCTCAAGATTTTCCAAAAACATTGTTTCCATGTGTTAGGCGGAGGCTTGTGACAGATGAAACCTTCAGTAACGAAACACGTTGGGGCTGCATCATTTGAGTATGCACAGTTGAGAACAACTACAACAAAGCAAAGCAATCTTTCCAAGTTATAAGGTGCATGAGACCATATTAATCTTGGAGCACTATGTGAAGGCAGGCAGAGTTCTTTGACTATGATTATCAGGAGCTCTAAACTCAGTACACCCTATATCCAATATATTTTACTAGAGTAATAACTAAATTGCTATATCTTTGGCCTCTTGGCCTCTATTAAAATGGGACATTAACACTTTTGCTAACCGAAACATGGTAACATTCAGCTCATTAGAACCTCTGCTGACTGTCTCCAAGAATAATTCACACCTTTTGCAATTTTCTACTTCCTTTCTTAACAACATCAGGAACAAGAGCTTATTTAGAAGGCAGGTTCAGGTGCCATGAGGACTGACTGTTAATCATTTGGTTTGTTCTGAAAAAAGTGTGTAAAGGACCACCCTATGTTACTGGGTTTGGGAGAATCTTCATCATCTTTTGGAGGAAGCAGAAACTGTCGGGAATTAATGGAACATGGGCTCCCAAAAGATGCGTTTTCATTGTTGCTTTCAACTGATCCAGGAGAGTCTGGAGTGTCCACGTTCCAGGCATTTGTGTTTGCTTGAGGTCTGTAACCTGCAGTTTTACCCAATTCTTCCTCTGCAGGCGAGGGACTCTCCATTTTCAGAGCACTGATAGGCAGCTGCATTTGTGGCTTATAGCCTGCTGTAGTCACTAAGTCTATTTCTGGCTCCTCCTCTGGTTTAATTTGAGGCTGATACATTGACTGGATGTCAATGTAGACCACCTGAGATGAGGCCAGAGGTTCATCCATAGGGGGGTTTGAAAGCTCCTCTTCAATGATAGGGGGGCAGTAGGACACAACCACATGGTTCTCCGTTTCTGAGTCAGAGCCATCTTCAGGCACAGTGGTGTCTGCTGCTGGGGATATCATCTCTGTGTCTTCAATCTTGGGAACCACAGACCGTGCTTCCACCACTTCGATACGATTGGGGGTGCACGGGTTCATTTCCAGTGTTTTAAGTGTCTTACTCCCCTGCAGTGAGAAAAGGAGAAGGTGGAGAGACTAAGCCGAAAGACCTGGAAATCCTGAAAGCAAGCAACAACTTGCCCAAAGAAAACCAGTGTGTTGGCTTGTGGCTTGCACTTACCCCGCTGCCATTAGTACAATATGAAAAAAAGTGGTTTAGTTTTCCTTTTGTGGCTCATCACACATTCTTTTCAACATTAGAAATATTTCAGCCAATTTAAAGAGACTCCAGATCTTGCAGTAAG